GAGCGGGTGTGTGCCCGGCGCGGGGGCCCTGTGTGCAAATGACTCCCCTCCTCTCCCTAACAGCCCATTACGAGTGTCCCAGTCCCAGCCGGGAGCGACGCCTGGGAACTCTTCCCCCTCCATCCCTTCACATCCCATCTCCCCGGTCGCGAATCACTCGATTCTTCTAACATCCTCTTCCCCGTGGCCATGCCATACCGCGCGCGGCTCTACCTCGACCAGGGGACGGCGTTCGTCTTGTTCCACCGCGGCGAAGACCTCGGGTCTGGTCGGTCGCGGCGCACACTGTTAAATTCCTACAACGCATTCGCTTTGGAGAACTGCGAAGTATTTTGATCCTTTGTAACTACGAAGCATTTACTTTGCAATTACAAAGTGATGCTTTGCAATTGCGAAGCAATGAAACACGCTGCAAAGATCGCTTTGCAATCGCAAAGCGTCAATTCGTAATTGCAAAGTAAATGCTTCGTAGTTGCAAAGGATCAAAATACTTCGCACTCTAACAGTGCAAGGTGTGTGCTTGCTTAGGTTCCAGCGCTGACGACTAGGGCAGCCGTGAAAAAACAAACAAAAAAAAACACTTGTGTGACAGTTTTCTTTTGAATCCATACAAATTGAGCAATGGGTAACCCCGTCACTCTTGTCAGATGAGTCACGTCACCTCTGCAGTTCAAGTGCGACCGCCGTCCTGCACCGTTCACAAACCGCTCGGCCCCGGTCCCTAAGCACGCTTTACTCTGCCGGATCGCCTTTCCACCTGGGGCTCGACCCTGACTGGCTGGTGACAAGAACGAAGACATGCCCAATCTTTTCTAAACACGAACTTTGTTTCTTCAATGGAACATTTCCTCACCTCTGACCGCTTTTAGCGGAAGGCGAAGAACAACATCATGGTCGGTCCTCAATTCGTACGAATGCGAAGCTGCCGATTGTTTTTTTTTTCAGTCGTGGTCCATATTATGACGGTGTTCCGCAAGGACCTCGGCTTGGTCAAACAGGTGTGAGTTTGTTCCTGCCGACGCCTTTCCAGCGTCGTGGCGGTGCAATTTGTCACTCGCTGGGCCAAGCGACATAAGCGAGACCCCGAGGGGTGCCCAACTCTAAAAAATCGTGTACACCTGATTACCAAAAAGTGACGATTACCAAGGATTACCAAAGATTACCGAAGATTACCGAAGATTACCTATGATTACCAAGGGTTTCCGAAGATTACCACTGACAAAAGATTACCAGAGATTACCAAAGGTTGCCATTGATTACCACAGATTGCCAGTGATTCCCAAAGATTACCATTGATTCTCAAAGATTACCAGTGATTCTCAAAGATTACCAGTGATTCTCAAAGATTACCAGTGATTCTCAAAGATTACCAGTGATTACCAAAGATTACCAGTGATTACCAAAGATTACCAGTGATTACCAAAGATTACCAGTGATTACCAAAGATTTCCAGGAATTTCCTGGCTGGATTACTTAGTGATTACCAAAGATTACCCGATGATTACCAACGATTACCTGGTGATTACCAACGAT